ACGAGGGCGGAAAGTTGCTAGGCCAGCTGCTCTCACAGCAGACGGCGATCCTGTCCCAGCTCGCGGCATCTGCTCAGAAGGCCAAGGATCCGCTACATCTCCTGGGCTCGGGCAGTTCGTCAGAGGAAGGCGCAAAGTTCCCCGGTGTCCGGGGTATGGCGGCCAGGCAGCTCCTCCGCGAGCAGTTCCAGAAGAACCCTCTCGCAGTGTACCACGGTGTCCGGGATCGGTTGGCTCAGGCACGGAGAAAGACCTCAGCATCCGAGCTCGAAGCTCGGGACATGTTCCTTCACTTCCAGGAGGTGGTCCCGCTGGGCAACTACAAGACACTCACGTACCTCTCGTTCCTGCTGTGCGACATGTGGGAAGCGATCGATCGCAACAACTCCGAGGAGCTGATGGCGTTGGTGTCTCTGGGTCTCGTGTTCTGCGAACAGGTGGCGAACGAACAGGGCCACACACGGCTTGCATGGTTGCTCACGTGCAGGGAAGACCCTCCTTTCAGTCAGGTGGAGGCCCGACGCGCTCCACGGAGCGAGGTCCCCCACGGAGCCCTTTCCGATCCTCGGTGGGTTGCCGCCCAACTGGCCTACCTCAGAGATGTCGATCAGATCCAGGACAGGACCTTCAAGAGTCAGCTGCCTCCCAACAACAGTCAGGCCAACGGCCAAGCAGCCGACGACCAAGGGCCAAAGGGCAAAGGCCGCAGGAGGCCGCCAAAGGACGGCGGCGGCCAGGCGGCCAACGCTCAGGCGTGAGGCCTGGGGTTTTCTTTCTTCCTGAAGTCTTGCCGCCAGGTTTGGACAGCACCTTGTCTGCTTCAGCATTGTGTTCTTGCGTGCTAAAGTTTTTGGGCAGGGCTCGCACTAGGCTGTCTAATTATATCCGGCGAGCTTGCGCTCTACCAGTTTTGAGTGCTGCCTCGCAGCATTCCACCGAGCTCTGGCCCTGCTCTTTGCCTGCTCCTGTGCCCGCCCCTCTTACGAGGCTTTCGGGACGGCGCAGGGCGCGCTGGGCGCTCCGGCAGCACCGTCGCAGTTGGACCCGCCTTCTTGTGGCTGCGGGCAACTTTCTTGTGAGTGGCCGCCCCGAGCACCCGACGCTTGCCCCGCCGCCTTTGAGCAGTGCGCAAGCTTTGATGATCCATCAGCTTGAGAAGCAGGTCTCAGTTTGGATTCGCCTAGGCTCCGGGCCTAGACGCGAACTAGATCGTGCAGTTCAGAAGTTCTCTTCTCTAGAGGAGCAGCTGAATGACCTTCGGCATCGCAGCTCTGCCCTTTATGCGCAGTTTCAACCGTACAGCAAAAGCACCAAGAGCACAGCTTCTCACGCCGATGCCTATGAGCCCGATGAGCCGGAGTGCCCATCTTCATCCAGTACAGGCCCCACGCAGCGTGCGTCGCAACATTCAGGTTCTAAGTTAGGCCCCTCCTCGGCTTCTTTGCGCATTGACCCGGATAGGCTAGTGTTTGACTCGCCCCCCCGATTTAATGCTAGCCCCTACCTGGTAGATCCGCTTTTGAAGAGTGCCTATCATGATCCGTATGTGTTGCTGCGTCCCGCTTCGCAGTGGCCAAAGACGAAGCGAGCCCGTGTCATGGCCACTCGTGAGCAGCAGTTCAAACTTTTTCGTAAGTGGGATAGCGTAGAATCCCTGTTCTTGCTGCCAGCCGCTTCGTCGGAGGTCAGATACAGGTGCGGGCTTTTTGCTGTTTACAAAAGCGACACAGTGGACCGTCAGATTTTGAATCCTATCCCGGAGAACAGCAGATGCTTTTCGATATCTGATTCCACGCTGTCGCTTGCACACGCGTGTCTGCTGGGACAGGTTTACATAAGGCCCGATCAGGACTTGATTATAGGCTCTGATGACCTTAAGGACTTCTATCATGGGTTCGTCATTTCCGAAAGGCACGCTGCCAGAAACCACATCCATGGTGTCTTCAGGGGTTCGGAGTTTAGAGGATTTAATGCCTACCGGCCCGAGCTCGATGATCAACCCGTCGTTGGCTGCTTTCGTAGCTTAGCAATGGGCACGAGCTACGCTGTGGAAACTGCTCAGCACGCACACACTGTTTTGCTTCGCAGGGCGCGCTGTCTCAAGAGCTCGGAGCAAGTTGCATACCGACACCCTTTCCCTAGAGGTCCTGGGTTCGAACTTCTATGCATTGACGACCATGCGTACTTAAGGTTAGTCTCCAAGCTCGAGGCACGCAAGGCTCCGGACATCAACCGTGCGGACATCGCACTGTTCGCGCGTGCCGGCCGAATGTATGTCCAGGCTGGCCTGCGCACTTCGCCCAAGAAAGCCATCCGCAATGCTTACAGAGCCACCGTGTTGGGAGGACAAATTGATGGTGAGGCCGGCACGCTGTCAGCTCCGAAGCTGAAGACTACTGTACTGTGTGCACTCACTTTTCAGCTCGCCGTGCTCGGAGTCAGCACAAAAGAGATTCTGTCCAGCATCGTTGGCTCCTGGGTGTTTGTCGCAATGTTCCGCAGGCCTTTTATGTGTCTCATCACCGAGCTTTACCATGAAATTGCCCGGCACAGAGATGGTGAGGTTTTTGCCCTAAGCCACGATGCCAGGCAGGAGCTTTTGCTGCTAACTTTGTTCGCGCCGTGCATGTCCACGGATCTCCGAGCACGGCCTTTGGACCGTGTCTTTTGCACAGACGCCTCGTCTTATGCAGCAGGCGCGTGTGAATCCCCCATGAAGCCAGGAGTCTGCCTCGAGTTGCTTCGCCACGCAGACCACAAGGGATTCCACACTCAGCTCAAACCTCAGGTTGCATCCTACCTCGAGCACTTTAGTTTGCCCCCTGGGTTGTTTGACGACTCCCCCGAGAACATCCCTAGGACGCTTACTGAAGGTATCCTGTATGATGTTTGTGAAGTTTTCCGGAGTGGCAGCAATTTCAGCGCAGTCTTTAAAGATAGAGGCTTTTGTGTACATCCTGGGTTTGACCTTGCTGTGCAAAGCGACGGGGACAGTGCACATTCCACCACTATGCTGCACATCATCGGGCTTATCTGCAGGCGCGTTGTCGCTTACTTTCACATCGCCCTTGGGTGTAGGACTTTTGGTAACATGTATCGTCCTCGTGTGCGCAGCAAGACCATCCCTGCGGGTTTCGACCCGTCTCACCGAGAGTCGCGTGAGGACACACAGCTGGCTCGGAGAGCAGCTTTCCTGTTGCACCTGTGTGCCGCGCACGGTTTGGCCGCTTCCTGTGAGCAGCCCCTCGGTTCGGTTATGTATAGGCTTAGTGTTTATCAGCGGTTGTTGAGCCAAGGTTTTTGTAGCTTTAAGGTCACCTTCTGTTCCTTCGGGACCCCCTACAAGCATACATCGCACTGGCTGGTAAACCGCAGTGGACCGCTCAGCCTCTCGTGCCGGTGCACGTGTCCGCCTGCTGAACCGCACCTCCGGATTGAGGCTTCGTTTAGCCGAGGGTCGCTGGAAAAGTTCAAGTCACGCTGCAAGCCGAATTGTTTGAGAGTTTTTGGTCACGAACCCGAATTAGGCCAAGCAGTGCGTTTGTTTTCCGAAGCTTACCCGGTGCCTTTTCTTGAACAACTCGCTGATTGCATGCATCCACACATCCTTGAGCTAAAGAGCACTGTGTGTGACTCACAGCGACCCGCTCACGTGCCACCCCGGTGGATCGGAGATCTTGGCTCGTGCCTTTCGTGGCGGGTCCTCCTGCAGTACCGTTTCAAACGGCAAAATCACATCAACATTAACGAGGAGCTTTCCCTTCGGAGCTTGATCAAGCACGTTGGCAAAACCAGCCCATCTTCTAGGTTTGGGGTGCTTTTGGATAGTAGAGTGGTTATAGGGTGCAATGCCAAGGGTCGGTCCAGTAGCCAAAAGCTAAATTTCTATTTGAGCACTGCTCTACCATACCTCGCTGGTTGTAACCTGTACCCGTACTACTTTCACGTCGGCACCCGAGAGAATGCCTCAGATGATCCTTCGCGCCTGACCGCCCTTCGAGCAACCTGTGCTCAGCAGCCGTTGTGGCTTCGGCAGTTTTTGGATGGCAACTTCACTCTCTTCGACATAGTTCGACGTGCCGACAATTGCGCAAGACCTTTGGACGGTTGGGCTAGGCTGGCAGCTCTCAGCGTTGCGCTGGATCTGCTAGATGCCCCGTGCCAAGCGCCGTGATCTTTCAGATAGGCTGGGCATCAATCTTGAAGTGCAAGCCGGTCTCACTCCAGTTGTACGCCGAAGACGCGACACCCTCTACGCTGATTTCGTCGCTTGGGTGGAGAGTGAACTGGAGTGCCCTTACGGCAAGATTTGCTGCTCAGGCCTCTTGCTGGCAACGGCTTTGATTGGTTATGGGAAGTTTCTGTTTTATAGCGGTTCTCCTAGGTATGTTTTCTCGGAAACATTGAACTCTGTTTGTGACCGCTTCAAGCATCACAAATCGACACTGGCTGGCGCTTGGTCGGTGCTCACACGCTGGCAGGAAGAGGAGCCTTCCTCTCGAGGCATGGTGGTCCCTGAAGTGCTGTTTCGAGCTGCCATCTCATTGAGTCTCCTATGGGGATGGCCGTATTTTACAGCGGCGCTTCTATTGGGTTTTCATGGATTGCTCAGACCCGGGGAGTTTTTGGGTTTGCGTCGACGCGACCTCATTCTCCCGAGCGACCTCTTGACCACAGCCCCTCTGGCCTACGTGAGGATTCTGCATTCGAAAACAAGTCGCTTAATACAGCGGCAGCATGCAAAGATCTCCGACTCCCTGTCAGTGCAGTTTTTGAGCTCTCTTTTCGAGAATGTACATTACGATGCTCCGCTTTTCGGATGTTCTCCTGCTGTCTTCAGGGCCCGCTGGAACGCAGTGTTCTCTCATTTGCATGTGCCGGTGCTGGGAGCAGACGATGGGGTGACTCCCAAAAGTCTGAGGGGGTCCGGAGCCACCTGGCTCTACCAGCGTACAGAGGACATTGAAAAAATCCAGTGGCGCGGAAGATGGCAGCAGAAGAGGACACTCGAGTTCTATTTGCAAGATGTTGCCGGGCAGCTCCTCATGACTGGATTGACTCAGAGTCAACGAGCCCAGATTTCGGAGCTCGCTCAGCATGCAGATTCATTGCTCAGAGTCGTCATTCAGCAACAAT